TCAGGAACCCCACAGGGCTGGCGTTTGTAATCGACACGACGGGGAGCATGAGAGATGACATCGAAGGCGCCAAGCAGAGGACCATCAACATCGTGAAAAGCCGACGAAGGACCCACACCGAGCCATCCTTTTACCTCCTGGTGCCTTTTAATGACCCAGGTCCGTCCCCGCACATTCATTTCTCTAGCGCCTGTCACTGCCTCGGGGTGCCCCAACACGCTGCTTTCCACTCTGGCTTCCCTGCTGTAGGAGGATGCTGTGGAACTTGAAAGGGTTCAGTAAAGATTTTGGGTTTGAGCTACAGGGAGAGGCTGAATAGGCTGGGGAGGGTCATGTTGCAGCTGTACAGGACATTGGTTAGGGCCACTTTTGGAATACTGTGTTCAATTCTGGTCTCCCTGCTATAGGAAGGATGTTGTGAAACTTGAAAGGGTTCAGAAAAGATTTACAAGGATGTTGCCAGGGTTGAAGGGTTTGAGCTACAGGGAGAGGCTGAATAGGCTGGGGCTATTTTCCTTGGAGCGTCAGAGGCTGAGGGGTGACCTTATAGAGGTTTATACAATCATGAGGGGCATGGATAGGGTGAATAGTCAAGGTCTTTACCCCAGGGTAGGGGAGTCCAAAACTAGAGGGGCATAGGTTTAAGGTGAGAGGGGAAAGATTTAAAAGGGACCTGAGGGGCAACTTTTTCACACAGAGGGTGGTGCGTGTATGGAATGAGCTGCCAGAGGAAGTGGTGGGGGGCTGGTACAATTACAACATTTAAAAGGCATCTGGATGGGGACATGGATAGGAAGGGTTTAGAGGGATATGGGCCAAATGCTGGCAAATGGGACTAGATTAATTTAGGATATCTGGTCAGCATGGACGAGTTGGGCCGAAGGGTCTGTTTCTGTGCTGTACGGCTCTATGATTCTATGACTAAGAAAGCAATAAGGTGGGAGAAGATGAAATATGAGAATCAGCCAGCTAGGAAGGATCAAGGAGATTGCAAGGGGATGATCAGATAGCTACCTAAAGGTAAGAGTGAGAGAGAGAGGCAGGAACCACTGGAAAATGAGGCTGGAGAAATAGTGATAGGGAACAAAGAAATGGCAGAGCAACTGAACAGTAACTTTGCATCAGTTTTCCCAGTGAAAGACACCAACAGCATACCAGGACTTTGAGAGATTCAGGGGGAAGAGGTGAGTGTAGTGGCCATCATTAAGGAGGAGGTGCTGGGGAAGCTGAAAGGTCTGAAGGTGGATAAATCACCTGGACCAGATGGTCTGTACCCCAATGTTCAGAAGGAGATAGTTGAGGAGATTGTGGAGGGATTGATGGTGAGCTTTCAGGAATCATTGGAGTCAGGGAGGGTCCCAGGGGACTGGAAAGTGGCCCATGTAACCCCACCTGCCTGTTTAAGAAACAAGGAAGACAGAAGGTCAGCTAGCCTGATCTTGGTCATTGGTAAGATTTTAGACTCCATTACTAAGGATGTGATGCAGAGTATAGGACTTAATCAGCACGGCTTCGTCAAGGGGAGGCCGTGTCTGAGAAATCTGTTGGAATTCTTTGAGGAGGGAATGAGCAAGTTAGAGAAAAGGAGAGCCAATGCAAGTGATCTATTTGGATTTCCAAAAGGCCTTTGACAAGGTGCCGCACAGGAGGCTGCTAAATAGGATAAGAGCCCATGGTGTTAGGGACATGGTACTGGCATGGATAGAGGATTGACTGGCTCGCAGAAGGCAGAGGGTGGCGATAAATGGGTCTTTATCAGGACAGCTGCTGGTAACTAGTGGAGTACAGCAGGGGTCAGTGTTGGGACCACAACTATTCATGCCATGTATTAGTGATCTGGATGAAGGAACTGAGTGCGCTGTTGCTACGTTTGTAGATGACACAGAGATAGGTGGAGGGACAGGCAGGGTTGAGGAAGTGGGGAGGCTGTGGAAGGATTTGGACAGGCCAGGAGAGTGGACAAAGAAGTGGCAGGTGGAATACAATGTGGGAAAGTGTGAGGTTATGCACATTGTTAGGAAAAACAGAGGTGTGGACTATTTTCTAAGTGGGGAATCGCTTTGGAAATCTGAAGCACAAATGGACTTAGGAGTCTTTGTTCAGGAATCTCTAAGATTAACATGTAGGTTCAGTTGGCAGTTAGGGAGGCAAATGCAATATTAGCATTTCAAAGGGCTCCAATACAAGTTCAGAAATGTACTGCTGAGGCTGTATAAGGCTCTTGTCAGACCATATTTGGAATATTGTGAGCAGTTTTGGTCCCTCCATTTAAGGAAGCCTGTGCCAGCTTTGGAGGGAATCCAGAGAAGATTTATAAAAGTGATCCCAGGGATGAAAGGCTTATCATATGAGGAGTGGTTGAGGACTCTCGGTCTGTACTGGATGGAGTTTAGGAGAATGAGGGGGTGGATCTGATTGAAACTTACAGAATACTAAGGGACATGGACAGAGCGGACATGGAGATGATGTTTGCACCAGTGGGAGAGACTGGGACCAGAGGGAACAGCCTCAGGGTGAAGGGATGACCCTTTAGAACTGAGATGTGGAGGAATTTCTTCAGCCAGAG